GGAGGTATTCTATTTTTGTTTAAAATATCTGCAGTTTGTTAGTGGCACAAAGTTTTAGGTTACATTGCCAGTCGCCGGTACCAAGTCAGTTTGTATTTCCGAATCAGATTAAGTGCATTTTAATTGTATTTTGTAAATACACAAGTGCATATGTATTGTATTTAATGAAAGCATGAGTGTCAAATAACTATTTCTTTATTTGTAACAATGTGCATCCACAGATCTGGAAAAATAGCAATATCATGCACAGGTTGAAGTCTCATCTCTAAATCCACTAGAGTCACAGTAGCTTGTCCACCTTCCTCTCTTCTGGCTCCTTGATCCTACTCCCTCCCGTTATCCACCACAAGGTTTAGTACAGAAGCTTTTTGTCAGACAAATCCTCAGGATCTTATCACAGTTTTGCCAGTCACCTTTTTCCACCAATTAACGACAGCATTTTAGCTCTGGCACAAGATTAGATCTGCATTTCAAATAGTGTTTTTATTGTTGCAACACTAGGGCTATGACAATTAACCCATTGGCCCCTTGCTCTTCCTGTCCCTTAAATTGCTCCCCCATGGGGGATGAATAAAGTATTTTGAATTGAAACAAATTCTTCAATGAGGGTGAAGTGTGAGCATGGGACACCTAACAGGACACCTCCAGCTGGGCAAAGTGTTAAACAGAGTCCATGTCCTATGAAATTGATTTGTAAAGCCTCATAGTTTTTACTTTTTTTTCTAAATTAAGGAATTGAACTATTTCTATTTCTTATGCACTGTACAAGAAGGAGTGCCACTCTCCCTACAATGAAAAAGGACGAGATGTCAGGCAGGCAGAACATAGCTGTGCCCCAAATATGTGAACGTCCACTGGAAGACAATGGCTGTATGTTTATGGCACGTAGAATATTGGGATAAGCTTCAATTGTCTTGAATGAAGACATGAAGGAATTTATAAGAGCAGCTTGAAAAAAGAGAATCAGTCAGCAGCTTGAATCAGGAAGACACAATCAAATTGATGGCTGCTGTAACAGGGGTCCTTCCCAGAGCTGGATTGGGGTTGCTAATGGGGCTATGGGACCCCACAAGCTACATGGTATCTTGAGAAAATACAGGGAAGGCAATGCATCACAGTAATAAAGTAATATAACTATTTATTACACAGTAATAAAGTAATACAAACAATTTGAAAAAATTGTGACCTAGAACACAGCTAATTGTGGAGGGTTGCTGTGCCTGCAGGTTTCATTCCTACTCTGTTCTTCATTACCTGCCTCCGCTCATCATTGGGTTAACTGACCAATTTAACTACTTCTACCAGCTCTTCTGGTGTTGCTGGTTTTAAAAATGCTAGAAAACATGGATCTGTACATCTCTGACCTGAATGGCAGGATGCCATTAGTGGAGGGCAGAGAGAGATGTTTCCCAGTCCAATTGATGTTGCACATGGAACATTTTTTGGTTGCAATACCAAAGGACCAAATTTTTAGACCCCAAAAGAGTGCAGAAGAGTGGACAAATTCTGGACCGCCAACTGAGATGATGCAGAGACACAAAGAAATCCCAAAAAGCATATTTAAACACAATAAGGGGAGATACTTGAAAAAGCACCTGACAATTTATAAAAATAGACAATTACAAAAAAGAAAAATGAAAAGGTAGAATATGTGGCGACAACTAATGGTATTTAACATTTAAGTTAACAAAGCACTATTCATTTTCATGGAATCATAGTGGAGGCAACAAACTACATGTCAGGTCAAAGTAAGCTTTGACTTTCACAGATTTTTACATCTTTATTTAAAAGATTGAAATGGAAACTTGATTTCAGGGTCTTTTTAAGAACTTTTATCTTCACAACATTACTCACACAGCGTGCATGGGACTCTGGGGAAGGTCTGCCTGTGCCATGCCATCCCCCAGCCCTCCTCCTGCAGGTGGAGCTCTGAGGACACCCAGCAGGAGCTCTTCGCACTGGGTCAGGACGACTTAACTGGAAACTTTGTGAACGTGAATAACAACTTCGGCAACCACGGTGCCTTTACTGGACTGATTATTCATTTTGTCTTTTTCGATTGTGGAATCAAGACCTCAGGCTAACTTGGGAATTCAGCAAAACGTAAGAACAACTACATTTAGGTTCCAGAATAATACTGACCTTTAATTCTTCAGGTCCCCCAGGTAATATGTCCTTCAGGCTTCTGACTGCAACATTCTGTTTTTAGATATTGATCGTTTTGGATTGAAAGTTATCCATGCCTTTTGAGTCATGTCAATTGAGACCATATCTTATATGAGGCGAGACTGTTGAAGGGTGAAAGAAGGGTAGAGAGATTGAGAATTTCAGCACTAATGTCGCTGTGCATTTCCTAGCTTTCAGTTCTTCCCCCACCTCTCACTTCTGTATTATTGGCAGGTGTAAATAGAAAGATTTCTGAAGAAGTAAGAATGAACATTTACATTTTTAAAGATCATTTTGGAACATAATGGCAGTGAACAGGTTGTTACCATTTACCAAGGATATTTCCTGAAATGACGGGCAAAGTTAAGAAGTTAAGTGTCAAAAGTAACCAATGTTAACCGACGTTAATTGAGAGAATGCTCACTTCTCCATTACACTCATATATCGCCATATTTCACTGGTTCTTCATACAGTTCAGGGAACTTAAAAGGGTTGCTAGGAAACAGCCATTTCTTTCCTCTCTTAGTGAAAGATGACTGTGTTTGGTCATGTCTCTCGCAAAGGCTTTGTTTAGTCATACAGAAATGATTGGCTGACTGAGGCAGGTACTGGGTAAAAGCACTAGCCTACTGAGTAGCTGTTTCCTCTTCTGCAAAGAGGTTTACTGTGGTCATACATTTCTAGAGCTTATGTAAACCTATTATTTTTATGTGTTTAAACAATTACAGTAGGTCCCAGAATAACCCTGGACATGGCAAGCAGCTCTACTTTGGAAAAAGCTAAAAGGATCTGCCGTCGGGGAGTTATTGATTGCAAAGTCAACTACATCAACAGCAATTAAAAAATCAATACAATCACTGAAACTAATCATATATGCATACAGTATGTACAGTAACTGAAAACCAACAAATATTAAAATGTTCTTAGTATCTAATTCATTAAAATGTTCATTAAGACTTGCTTACAGTTTTATATTTGTATTGATTTTCATCCCTGTGTTAATAAATTGCAAGTTATAGTTCAGGTCAGTTCGATCCAGAGTGCGACTTCAGTGAGACTACACTATTAATTTGCTTAGTCCTCAGTGAGGTCTATAGAGTACAGCAGTCATTCTGACATAGAAATGGAAAAATTGAGTTTGTTGTCAGTAGTAATAAATACGAATTTATAGGTAACCCTATAAAGTGGTACCAGTTATTGCCTGACTTAGATAATGTTGGATGTTTGCATGCTTTATAAGCATGGAAATACCTATAAACACATTTTTATACACTGAGATATTTTCTGTATTGTACAAATATGCAAACAGGTGATACAAAAGTAATAAACTGATTATTTTATTTCATTGTGCTGCACAGGAGAGGATAATACTGTCTACTAATGCAACGTGAAGAATTTCCTACTTCCAGGCATTCGGGTTTTTCACCAGTCTTTTTAACAATAGAACTCATGAGTGGTGTTTAAAAACCATACATTTCTATGATATCAATCTAATGGGTGCTTTAAGAAAATAGTTTGTGCTTCCTCTCCTGTTTTCATTTTATTATCCTAACTGTCATTTTGAGCCCTTAAACTAAAGGTTGTCAAAATATAAGAATAAATGTAGCATTGTTTCTCACAAGACAAATACACTTTCAATGACTAATGTTATTTGCATTGTCAGAAAAAGTAGTGTTTACAAAACTGCATTCTAGTGCTTGTAGCCCTGCAGCCACTTTTCAAAATGGCATCATAAAACAATCATTGCAACCAGAAGAGAAACATTAAGGTTTACTTAATGTTATGAAAGTTTCATTCATAACTTGTTTATGAATGAAAAACATTCATAAACAAGTTAAATCTTGTAATCTGTCAGTTAAAACAATACTATATTGTACAAAGTTGCCGCTTTTCAAATGTAACATAAATACCCATACATTTACACATAAGTAGCCAACATGAAGACAGGAAACATGGAAACAGGAAACAGGAAACATGGAAACATGGAAACATGGAAACAGGAAACACTTGGGATGAAACAAGACAGAGAAGTTACATTTTCAACTTTCAGCTCAACTTGTTATTTTCCAAAACAGCTTAATACTTACCTCAAAGCATCAAACCTGGTGCACCAGAGTTTATTTTTATTCCAGTACGTTTACCTCTGCCCCTCTCTTTCACAGAGTGGCCATACTTTGAGTTGACGACACGAGATTTCAAAATATTTCCTAAATTAACTGTTCACTCAACTATTCATCTGTGCATTTTGTTGTGCACACGAATGGGGGAAAATCTTGAGGTTGCAATGCAGTGAAGCTGTAGTATTATAACATCATGTCTACATCTTTCCTTTGCTGTAAATACAATGAAATAACCTTGATTATGTCTCAATATTCTGTTGAATGTTTAAATTGTACCTTATGAGTTAAACTGAGAAAAGGTCTCAGTTGAAGGAACCTGCAAAACACTTAAAGGTGCATTACAGTTATCCAGCACGTATAGAAAATACACAAACATTCCTTTATTTTCCCCTTTTCCAAGAGAAAGGTTTCAACAAATACTCTTTTAAGCTGTTTGTTAGAACTCTAAATCCATTAAATTTCCTTCTATGTCTGCTGTTAGAAGTATATGCTGGACATACTGCTTCACATCCATGACTGAATCCTACT